CCCCCCCCCCCCCCCCCCTGCAAAGTGTTCAAGGGGACCACATTTCTCTGAGTTCTCTTGAGTTGAGCTCAAATGTCCCACTCTCCCGTCACAGATTATATTTCATTGAATGTGACAAAGATCCAAGGACGTGTGTATTGATTTCAGACGACATCACTCCAACACTGTCAACGCTACAGTCAACAGTCAGGATGTATCGTTGAGATTGCTTGGGCATCATAATCAATAATGAGCTGAGCTTTGATCATAACACCAATGTGTTGCGTAGAAAAGCTAGCAGCGCCGTATCTGCCTCGACAAAGGTGATCGAGGTCTGTGGCAGTATCGCAGGTACCCAGCAGAAAAGTCTGTAGAACAAACAGCTGTTTCGAGTTTTTCCATTACTGATACCAATATCGTAAAAACCTCAGACACAGCCAAAATGCTGGATCGGAGGAGAGTATGCAAGTCTGTGCACCACGATATCACATCATCGTATAATTCATCAGTGAGAGTTGCACATGTGCAGAACCAATCGGACAGGTGCTAACGGAGAGTGAGTTTGATACTGTGTTATTACGGTTTTCACTGCTGCACAACCAATTGCCGCTCTGTGGACGAATAAAGTTCTACTTGACCTGAATATTTAATATATATAATAATTATAATATTAAATATGTTGGGTTTAGTATGACTTTGAAGAAATTGTTTGACATTTTGCCGCTCTCGTGTGTGTAGGGTAACTATGGAGCTGGAGCCAGGGGGCCATGAGATTAGATTATCAAAGGTTAGCATAGAGATTGTCAGCATGGGGGGGGAGACAGCTGGACTCACTCCCTTCAAAGCTCCCAAGTGGCCCATTTCAGAATCATATCAATTTCATGATTGAATTATAATTATTTATGCATTAATGTCTTCATTATTTCAATGTTGGAGCTGGTAAAGTTACAGCTAAGTTTAACTACTCTGTATACTTAATAATTAGGCTATGTACTAATAACACATCGTAGTGTATTTGTTGCTTTCTACTTTGAGTTAAGATCCCCCCTCTGGGGATAACGCAAAGTATCCTAACTAGAACTTGAGTGGCCTAAATGTACATCTTTACATTCCACAACTGCTAGAACGCAAACTTGTTTACAAGAGCACAAAGTTCCTGTAGATCTAGCCGCTTGATATTTGGCTGTTGAAGTGCACCGGATTGATGCATCGAACTTTAGAAGGTGCAAAATTAGAGGGTCCGAGCTCCACCCTCCATCGTCAATCCTGTGGGAAACACTGTACACATGGAATGACATGGAACACAAACTCCAACAACACATTAATGGGGTGTGCATTAGTTAATCACCCACTCACACACACACACACCCTCCCGTCCCCAGATTTAACTTCACATGGCGTTATGAGCCCTCACTTCAGTCGAGTAGCTAACAAAGCGGCCGTTAATGGTTGAAGCACCCAGTCGGTAACCTCCCACCACCGGGAAACAAAAAAAAAACAAACAGGCGCGTGCACGCGTGCAAACACACATCTTTAATGACTTCTTTTCTGCGGCACATTAGCTATTGTGCGGTAATTAATGGGAGAGTCATGGCGTTCAAAAAGCCAGTCTTCTCTCTGCAGACTAGGAGCTGTACGCCACAACAATGGCTTAATGAGTAAACACGCCGCGCGTCTCATGAATAAATTATTTGTGCCTCGCAATTAATTTTCCCTATTGAAGTTTGAAAGAAAAAAAAAAAAGCAGGACTGTTACCAGTCTTCATAAATCAAAAAAAGGAGGGAGTCGGGAGAGAGGACATGATGGCAACTTTTTGTGCGTGCGTGCCTCAGATCCTCTGTAATGCTGTGTGTGTGTGTGTGTACGTGTGTGTGTGTGCATTTGATGAATCTGGGTATTTACTTGTGTGTTTATGAATGAGATCACATAGGTTTTTTCTTTGCCTTAAAGCGTGTTTGTATGCATGTGTTTTCCATGTTTTACAGAAATTTGGTGTTCAATGTACATTGCACATGCACGGCACGTGTGCGAGTGAGCATGCCGTACGTAAGACTTACTGAAAGGAGCTTCCACGTTATCGGTCGGACCTGTCGCGGGATTCCAGACCAGCTGAGTTTCCGTAGCTCCTCTGTGAAACAAGAACAGAAGTACCAGAGGGTTGATTTTACATTCACCACGGACACATATATAGAAATGTGGTACAGGGAAGTCATCATCATTTTACCACATAAAGTCCTCCTCTTCTGTACATGTTGCAGCACACTGTAAAACTAATTCATCTTTTAACTGACTCACTCTAACTTACAGCTTCCCTTTGCGTAAAATGCTCATTTTCCTTTGAGATTTTTGATTCCTCTCTCTTTGCCGCCGCAGCATTAACACAGCTGTGCAGAGAATTTCAAATATGAATCTCAAATATCGATACTGGTGTGAGTCAAGCTCTATTCCCCTTCCCTCGTTTTGAATTTCTCCGACCACAGACCACAAAACTAGAGACGTCTATCACTAGAATAACTACATGAAATAGACACAAAATCATTGTATTTAATATGTTTTATTAAATCAAAGTAGCACCATATCTACATGTGGTTTGCATGTTGGTCTGTCTGCCTGACTACATGTGAATGCAGCATTCCTGTGATAAAAGCAATACATCTACCATGACACAGAAATTCAAAGCATTATTGGGTTAGTAAGTCATTCTTGGAAACCCTTCAATCAATCAACAAACCAGCCATGTCCTCGCCGCCAAGGCTCCCAGTCCCATCCCTCTTTCACTGCACTGAGATGCTCCGATGGGTTAGAAGAGGATTATTAACTAGATCCTCCACTCCACCCCCCCCGGGTGGGAGATCCGGCTGGGCTATAATGTAAAATAAATCTGGAGAGGTGGAAATTGAACTTTTAAATTGGCAAAGAGCAGTTCCCTTTGGGTCCATGAAGACCCAGGAAAATACGGCTTAATGTCAGGGTGCTACACAGACATCCGACACACAGCCGTCTCTCTGTAACACACACACACACACACACACACACACACTGTCAGTAAGACAGGATGGGTTGGGTGTCTGGATCAACAGTGATCCGACAGGAGATGTTGCTTTTGTCTTGTGGCATTTAATAACCCGTCTCTTCCATTTCAACCTACTTCCAGTGAGTCAAACATAATAAGAAGACTAGAATAAAAGGTGTAGGATTTCACTTCCTTGCACGAAAATGAGCTGTGTGTTCATGATATTCTGACCCACTCTGCGTCTCCGCGACATATTTTCCCCTGAATATACTGATCCTAGAGGGAAGTGAGATCACTGAGCGACCTAGTCCACCAGGACCAGGCAGCTTCAGGGTATTCAACACACACAGTATCCGTTTGCTTACGTTCTTTTTCAGCAGCAGTTCTTAATTACCAAGAATCCTGGATGAGAACATTAACTCATCCAATATTCACAGATAGGTCTCCCTATCCCCGGGCCCTGCGGGTCTACACCCCCCCCCCCCCCCCCCCTCCTCCATTAGCATTCAACAAGACGAGTTGCCACGGCCAAGCTGAGGCAAACATAAAAACACAATGGGAAATCTCTTCACTTGTAATTGCACTGCCTCTGATTTACCTGCATTCCAAGAGAGGACAGGGGTTAGGGGGGGGGGGGGTGGCACTGCCTTAATATACATTTCTGAGTTGGAAGAAATAAAATTAAAACAACTGTACCTAGTAAATAAGCCATATTCTTCCTCGACTCGTATTCAAGGCACAGGCTGGGAATTGATAAGCCCTTCGCACGGAGTGAACGGTATTGATTAGCGCTGCCAAATGACTCCGCCTTGCCTGTTCTTCAAGGCAAACGCAATGGAGGGCCAGAGACAGATAGCGGAATAGGAAATAACAATCAGCTAAACAGCAATGGGCTAAGTCCATCGGCTAAATTGAGTGAAACGCATTAGAGCTTGTTCAGCTGATGGGAAAAGCTATTTATTCACTATAGTTCCTGTGCATCTCCCACTTAAGATTTCTCCCTTACCTCGTCCCCGGTGACTTTAATTATATAGGAATTCAATACGGTGATGCAGTGCAAAGCACGGCTCTGTTGGTTTGGAGCGAGTCGGGGCCCCCGCAGAATGGAGAGGCTTTCAAACACCCCAAGGTTACCTGTGCAGCAGCAGCAAGTCGCATTTAAAGGCACGGATGAATAGAAGAAGAAATCTCTCTCAGATATGAGACCAACCAGAAAAGTTGCTGCAGGTTTTCTACAGATTATCTCTGTGTCTCTTACCTCAGGACTAGAGAAGGCAATGTGTGAACGTGTGTGTGTGTGTGTATTGCTACCAGGCTATGTTGAGTGCAGACATCATTTCATTCACAGACAGAGTCCAGACACAGGAAAAAAGCTGTCTTCTATTAAAAGCGTTTGCCTCTCACTGAATCTGTAGCTTTCAGGCAGAGATAGGACTGTGCCTATAAATTCAATTTGCCCCTTTTCCTGAGATTGGCACTACGAGACGCTTAAACGGTGAAGTCCATCAATTCTACACATCAAAGTATGCTCACAGGCCTTGGGGAGTATCACTGCATATGCGGAAAAAGGTTGTTATAAAGCCTTTGTGGCTCCAGAGGGAGCCGTGTGAAAGCTGATCAAAGCTGCCTCGAGTGACGTCACTGGAATCAACGGTCGAAGGAGGGATCCTTCAACCGCTGGATGTCAAAGAAGCTATGTCACCCAACTCTGTGAATTAAGGACTGTTCTTATGTGGAGGACCGAGTCCTTCGTTCAGAGGAAAGTCAAAGATGCATGCGTGTAGCCTCTGTGCTCCTAAAAAAATGACGATGCATTTCCTGTCCCCCTGTTTGGAAACAGGGAAACGCTATGCTACCGCTAAACAATCTGCTGCCATGGATTTTGAAAGTGGTGAGCTCACTAGACCTCTGTGGCCCGCTGCCCATCTCTGCTGTGGAGGCTCGCGACTACATTAGCCACAGTTCGGAGTTGGATTGTGGGTAATGTAGGCAACCACTTTTGACAAGGAAGAAGAATGCGTGGAATTAACCGATTGGTTTTGTTGCATCGATTTGGATCATTTCTAAAAATTCCATCACATAAATTGATTGGGGTGCTCTTTTAACGAATCATTTCCGCCGGTTTTCCCGTTTTATCGGTGAAAACTCTTCATCAAGCAACACCTAATGCAACGGACATGGCATAATACGATATTGACGTCGGTGCGGGCTTAAGTTAATTGCCACTGTGGTCCCGTCCCAGCGCGGTTCATTAGAGTACATCCTTTTCTTCGCAGGCGTATGAAAGACTAATTCCAGACCTGTGGCAAATTGACCGCCACGATTGCACGTCAAAGACCATGTGCACAGGTTTTGCAAATTCCCATCAACTTTCACAGCTCCGATTCATTTTCACCCCTTCCAATCTCTTTCGGCCAGTACCCCTGTGTGTGTGTGTGTGTGCGTTCCTATGTCACTTCGTCGTTGCAACACTTGCAACGACGTCAACCTCGTAGAGCTGGACAGCCGCAGTGAAGTGACGTTGAAGGCGCAAACGACAAAGTGCAAGAGTTTAAGGGTGAAACGGTTGCCCTGTGTGCGCCTCTACATTCATTACGAACAGCTCGTCGAGGGTGTCTCTCCTCTTGCCTCGCACCTTTTGACCCTTCATTTGCACTGTCGGACGAAGAAATGAGTCCATGAATCTTGTGGGCTCGGGCTTAATTAAACTATGTTATATTTCCCCCCCACGTCATTAATCTCCCCACGGGGGAAGGGGGGTGTACAGAGAGGAGGGGTGGAGGACGTGAGGCGCAATTTGGCTAATAGTCTTTACATCCCGACGCCGCAGTGATCTCCAGAAAGCCCCCTGTTACCCTTTGGGCAAACACTTTGTATTTGCAGGAAAGGCTTGTGGAAGAACAAATGTGTGCACTGAAGGAGCCTGTTCTCTGTGTGTGGGTGCATGTGCGTAGAAGAGTGCCGAAAGGGCAAGGGGCAAATATTTACTCGGCACCATGTGGACCAGCGGAACAAGACCCGTTAGACCCGTACATCATACACAGAAAAGTGCAAACACAGCTCCCTACTCACGAAAAATTCGCAGTCTTCCAAACACTCTCCAGCAGAGAGATGGACCACTGCAGACTCCCGATCACAGTTACCCCAATGAGAGCCCAGACGCCCTGTAGACCCAGGTAGTACTGATGCACTGTGCTGCTACAGCACATGGAAGGACAACGGTTCTACTCGCAAAGATGGTTTCACATTTGAAATTAGTCCTGGGCTAAAAGCCTGCTTTGAAAAGGAAGCACTGCCTAAGACAATATGTAATCCATAATCCATCTGTGAATGGACTCTGTGGCGATGCTTTGTTCTAATGCAAAATACACTCTCATAAAGAATGGTGTCTATACCCGCTAATCTCCATTCCCCGGAGTGGGCCGGTGACAGAGAGGCCAGCGTGAGCGCAGTTGACGTACGGGCTAAATTGCAGATGTCGTTTTCATTAGCGCGAGGCCGGCTCGTCTCGCAGAGAGCACGTCTGACTCTCTGGGGCATCTCCGGTGCATTATGAATGAGCTCCGCTGGAATAAATTAAACGGCATTTCGTGACATTTTGGAAAATGAATCTGTTTGTTGTTGTTTTTTTTTTGCTCAGCGGGCACTTGTCACAATGTGGCAAAAAAGTTTCCCCAACTGTCCCGCGGGCGACTAGCTGTCCCCGTCAGTTTCGGTGAGCCGAGTTAATAATGCAAACAAGCCATTTCTAGCTGACGAATCTGTCAACTCCTCTTTAAACATAGTAATCTGCACGACTTGAAAAAGATAAAAAACACTAATTGAAGCTGTAAAGACAATTCTTTAACAGGTCTCTACAGGAACAAGGCGGAGGCAACTCATTAAAGCAATTTACAGTCAATTCACCCCGCAGGCTGTCACTTCAAAATGTACGTTTAAAAGTGCAAGCGGGGGCAGGCGGAGAACAGAATTCCCCTTGTGGGACCAATAAAATATCACATTATTATACACATGCTTTTGGAACTAGTGCCATCAGTATTGTGGGCGTTTTATCATGCTGGCAGGCACACACTGGAGGAAAGCCATGTTCCTCACAGGCATGACAAACACCTGTA